ATTGAATCTTTGTTGTCTGTATGAGAGCTATTCACATGTTGTGCAATTGTCAGTTATCTAACAAACTAAAGAAGCTTTATTTTGATATTGACAAAAGAGTTCTACGAAATCTTGCCTGTTTAGCTGATAGATATTAAAATACAATGTGATCATTGCTCATGTGATCAATGTAGCATTTTTTCTAATAAGCGTAATAGTAGAATAACATGCTGGATGCATTCAAGGGTGTTTAGAAGCAATTTGTCGTTCCTTTTAGCTTATCACTAGTGTTTCTCATCTAAATGAAAACAGCTGAACAATGAAGAACTCTATGAATACTTGATTTTTGATCGAGAGAAAAGTCGCTTTTCTAAGATAAATTGTTCACGTACTAACATAAAATCTGTCACATGTTTCATACTTTGTGATACAATATACGACGCATCAAAGTGCACATAGGAGACTTTTGAAAATGAGATTCGATTCTACGACGTGATCAAAGAGAAACACACGAACAACAATGTTGAAAATTGAATATTTTTATACAGTTGTATCGAACTTGACAAGTTCATCACATATATTATCTTCACAAGTTTTTTCATCGAGTTTAAGTTGAGAAATCTTAGAAAGACGAGAAACACTCTCTAACCTAAAGATATGAGCATTTTTCAAGTAAATTTAAGATATCGCTTATTTAGAATAATGATAAATCATTAAAACTAAATTATTCAGATTCGGCATCAACAAACGAGTAGAACTGCAGGCTTAAGAATATTTCATCGTTTATATCTTCCTCGATAACGACGACTTAGTTTGTTAGTCAATCCATATCCTAAAAACTGGATCAGGTCATCTGAGTGTTTCATTCCGTGTGTGATATTTGAAGAAAAGTGTGTGGATGTGGATGTGAGTGAAGAGAACGCTCAAAACCACAGCCACATCCAATTAGTCATCACACTGCAAACGTGTTCAACCTTGAGAAAACGGGCACGTAAGAAAAAACTAAAATCATAATTACTAAGTATAATGATGAAAATGGATAAAGATATCCGACAGTTATACAGATTGTCAACAGCAAAAAAATACTCACTTTATTAGTTTTCACAAAACAATAATAATCGATCGAAGAAAATAAACGACGTCGATATTCACAAAAACACTCTAAAAACCTAAAAGACCTTGTCGGCACACGATCTTTGATGACATGTTAATCTACAGTTCAGAGAAGAATGTAACTTCAGACTACACTAATTCTCTATTCAATCTTTGTATGAGTATGGACGTTGTTTATGAATAATTTCATATAATTATGTCACGGGTAGAGCAAAATTCGAACAGAGTGATAAACTAGCCAAGTATGTAGAATGTTTATCAATAACTAGATAATAGCAACTCATTCATAGAACATTCCTTAAATATTTAATTTTAAAACCATTCAATTTTTCCCTTTAACAGTGAACAAATGAATCGGGCATTAGTATGAAAAACAATCCAAATAAGCAAGATCTTCATCAATGAACCTTTGTTTTCGTATGAACTTCTTTTAAATTGTACTAATCTTCTTTAATCATTACTTATTACTAACATGTGTCTTTTATCGTCATACTTTTGCTATTCTATTTCAAATAAGTATTCTAGCTGACTAAAGTTTCGATAATCATGACGATATCGACAAAAAGGCAAAGTACTTTTGTTTTTTTTATGTGTTGTTTGCTAGAATCAACTTAAGTACATTAAATACCGTTGTTTTTGAGCCTCTGAAGCGTTTTGATATGTTTCGTTTATTACAAACAGCATATACTGGTCTGTGAATGCATGTAGTAATGGTTACATATCGCAATCACATTGGCATCCTTCAATAGACTAGCTAGGAAAAGATGTGGGCTATTCATAATTCAAAGACAACTTTCATCTAATCGATATAAACATCTGCATGCAAGCATCAACAAAATTCATTTTCTTATTGCGAAAAGACAGCGATTGTATAGATCAAGTAAAATATAGCGTGTGAGTACGGATATAGGTCAAGAGAATACTTCTAAAACTATATCCCATTCACACTGACACCCTCAAAGAAGATTTCAAAGAGGTGGATCGCAGTTTCTATTAATGGCACTGAGGGAGTACGACAAAGTGCAAATTTGTGTAAAAAAGAGAAAGTTTACACGGTTTTCTTATTCATAATTTTAGGACACTCATAGTGGAGTATGGATAGCAGTTTTAAAAAATTTATATAAAACTTTGGATATAATTAGTACACACAATAGAAAACGAAGTCGTCAGTTTGAAACTCATTCATAACAAAGTAGTTGCTGTACAAGTTGCTCCTTGATAATGCCAGTTGAGTCATGTAAATTGTTGCGGCAATAATTAGTAGTTATTTCACATCATAAATTGTATTTTTGTGAATAATCTATTTTTCCGATTTATCCTTGCTTCTCTTTATCTTCACAATTCGAAAAGTTGTATCTCCTTTTCTCAAACTTTCATTAAAAAGTGGAAGACCTTTTCCTGCTTTATGGCCGAGTCCCATTGATAAAGCACCATCTTCAATCTTCATTTGTTTCTGTTTTAATGTTTCAATCAATTCTGTAGGCGCACAAAATTCTACGATCGTTGTTGGATGTGTCTTAACCCACTTTGCTCCAGTGAAATATTTGTTAGCAT